TGTGCCGTCGCAAAAAGTTCCGTCTCATAAGCCCACTTTTCTTGTAGTATTACTTAAAAAGTGTGATTAAAAAGTAGTAGTGTATATATAATCACACTTTAATTAGAAGGTGTGATTAAAAATATATATATATAATCACACTTAATTGAAAAGTGACATAAAAAATAAATATTATCACACTCAATCAAATTAAGTGTGATTAAAATATCAATCTAATTTTTTTTATCACACTTCCAATAAAAGTGAGATCTTTTTTTTTGTCAAAGTGTGATCTTTAACTATTTTTGTAGTAGTGGAAGTTGGGCATTTTTAGGTCCAATTCTAATGTTTTTTTTTTGTTTTTTGTAGATGACTTCGTTGCGTGGACTTGTAGAGATATTTTGGTGAATGGAGAAGAAATTGTACTTTTGTCGTCTCTGGCTTTTGTGCAGTTAACTATTCCTAATACAGAAAACTTTTGGCAGCGAACAGATAATTATTGGCATGGTAGATGGATCACCTTTTGACGCCGTATAGATATATGATTTTTTATCGTGGTACATAGATGTATTTTTGGCTTGGTACATACATTACCTTTTGTCGTGGTAAAGATTACGATGGTAATTTGTACCATGTCAAATGGTCATTTCACATGGTATAGTAAATGTAATTTTTGTATATGGAGAGCTTTAATTTTTGTATGATTATATATGTTGTATAGAATTATTCTTTTAGTTTGGACAATAGTTCGTTTGTCTGTACTTGGACAGTTAAAGTAATTTATTTTTTGTATACGGATGCAGATTGTGGAATGATTGATAGTTTTTGTATTATTTTATTTATATATGTATTACAGGTTGCATGGAATACAGACAGGTTATGGACACATTATAATATTTGTAATAAAACATAATATCATGTTTTTGCTGACTAAATGTTTTGTAGCCAAAAAAAGGAAAAAAAAAAAAACTTTCGCTACTAAAAGTTTTTTTGGCCACTAAAAGTTTTGTAGCCAAAAGAAAACCAAACATTTGGCTACTAAATTTTTTGTAGGCAAAAGAAAAACAACCATTTGGCTACTAAATGTTTTGTAGCCAAAAGAAAATCAAATCTTTGGCTACTAAAAGTTTTTTAGCCAAAAGAAAAGCAAACATTTGGCCTCTAAAAATTTTGTAGCTAAAAACAAAAATTGAAGAATAAAAATACTTTTGGCGACTAAAAATTTAGTAGCCAAAAATGTCTGAGCTTAGGCGACTAAATTTTTAGTAGCCAAAAATGTGGAAGTTTAGGCGACTAAATTTTTAATAGCCAAAAGAAATAGTATTTGGCGACTAAAATTTTAGTAGCTAAAAAAGATTGACTTTAGGCGATTAAAATTTTAGTAGCCAAAACACTAGTATTTGCTTTAGGCGACTAAAACATTTAGTAGCTAAAAATTTTTCGACGACTAAATAATTGGCTTTTGGCGACAAAAAAATTGGTCGGCAAAAATGTATTATTTAATTAATTTTCCAACCTATTGGCGACTAAATATTTAATCAGCAAAGGTATACATTTGGCGACTAAATTAGCTTTAGTCGGCAATTAGATTTCCCGACTACTCTTTCGCTACTAATTTTCCGACCAAAAAATATAGTCGCTAAAGACTATAGGCGACTAAAAGATGACTTTTGGCGACTAAAAATTTAGTCGCCAAAAGTGAAAATTCTTGTAGTGAACGTAACGTGACATCTACATAAACGTAACGTAATGTGTCACGTTACGTTTCGCAAACTTAATGAGTTTTTATTTTTTTAACTTGAATGTGAAAATATTGTTGGTTTATGTTGATGTCACGTTACGTTTCATATAAATATGATCTATGATAACATTCAACTTCCTATATAGGAAATTGAATGTTGCCATAGATCATAGGTGTCACGTTACGTTTATGTAGGTGTCACGTTACGTTACGTTTATGTAGATATGAACTATGGTAACATTCAATTTTCTATATAGGAAATTGAATGTTGCCATAGATCATAGGTGTCACGTTACGTTTATGTAGGTGTCACATTACGTACATGTGTCACATTACGTTTATGTAGGTGTCACGTTACGTTTATATAGGTGTCACATTACGTACATGTGTCACATTACGTTTATGTAGGTGTCACGTTACGTTACGTTTATATAGATATGATCTATGGTAACATTCAATTTCCTATATATAGTTTTACTATTATTTATGATATTAACAACTAATATTGAGGGTAAATGTGTCAACAAACTTCCAACAAGACTT